GTTCGTTCGTTCGTTCGTTTGTTCGTTCTTTCGTTCGTGTCCTGTCTGTATTGATTTCGTCTGTATTTGCTTTATCGATGTTGCTCGCGTAGGGGTTTTTGGGTTTGCTTCTATTTTTTGGCATTAGCCATTGTGCTGTTGAGGGAAGTTATTTAGAAAAATTGTATAAACCAACTCCCAACGCTTTCTCTCCCTTCCCTTTTGTACTCTTCTCTTTTCTTCTCTTTTCTTCTCTTTGGTTTCCTTATCTTCCATTTATTTTCTTAAAATGAATTTCAAATGATACATTCCATGGTCAACGAGTTCAATGTTCATCATTTTATTTCACTTCATTTACAACCCAAGAAAGTCAAAGAAATGTCAAAGCCTAAAAAATGTTTATGTTAGTACGGTCTTTTTGTATAAATTACTCCTCATCCAAAGAAACGGTTATACTTCTCTGTCCACTGTTTGTGGAACTTGCTCTCTTTTTTACCAAAGTACTTTTCATAGGCCTTATTCAATTGCTGCAGTAGTCTACTGTCTGGCCTTTTAGAGTCACCTTGTTGCCTCTCGACGGCCCCCAACAACGAATAGTCCCCCTCTGTTAGTTTCTGCCCGCCAAAAAGCTTTCCAAACTCATTGGTCCACTTTTTAGAGTAATCTTTCTGGGTTTCAGAAGAGGGTATCGACACCGACCTTTTACCCTGAGTTCCAAAGTGCTTGGAGAACATTTTGTTCAAATCTTTAAAAAAAATTGTCCTTTGCTGCTTGATTGGCGGCATCAATGGTGTTGATTTTATTGTTGGAATGATAGCCAAGTGCTTGACCGAAACCTATTTTTCTGGTGCCAGGGTCTTCTTGGAGTGTTTCTAGCTCTTCGCCTGGGAAAGAAAAGAAGTTCAAAATATTTACTACATGGGATGGGTTGGTTAAAAGCTGTTTTTCAATATAGATGACGTCATTATGGCGTCATAATAACGTATATAATTGGCGTTGCTTAGCAGACATTAGCCTTTTGTGAAACATATATCTCCAAAAGTTTTGTATTATACTTTCAGCCTTGGAGGGAATATCCAATAAAGTCAGATAGTAATTTAATTTTATATGTACATCCTTATTTATAAATTTGGACTGGTAAGAGCTTAGCTCCAGTGTAATACATGAACTGTATAGCGGCTACCAGAGACGCCTTCACATGCCTTCAGTTCGACCTCGTTGACTATTTGCGTCACTTTGTGGTCGTTATTAATGATAACGAATTTTAATTTATACATTTGAAATTGCTACTAAGACCTTTTTGTTTACCATTTATAAGCACGGGCTTCCCAACTGAAGCGCAGGGTCCAAGAATGGCAAGTAAAAGTAGACTACACGCAGCACCCAATATCATTCTGATTCCTAAGTCATACAAAAGAAAATTACTAAGTTTTGTCAGTTAGTTTTGCTGTCCAGTCTTTTGTGGTGCGTATATCTTAAAAGGGGACGAGAACTTTTTTCACGCATGCGTTTGCCTTCATAATTCAGGATTTTCGTGATAACATATTGAGTGCTTCCTGCTTTAGATATAGGATTTAATTGTTAAAACGAACATGCTGTTCATAGCGATGATATTAAGGTTGGGATTTTTTAAATGAACTCTTGCTCTAACAGCATACAGCTACGGCATAATAGTATATGATACATGACCTAGGACTGTGCCAGAACGATTAGAAAAATGAGAAGCACGGATGCTTATGGAATACGGATAAATCATAATGAAAAACTTTTTTGTATTTGTTTTTTGAGCCCAATAAAGATCTATCCAATATGTCATCTTTTATCAGATTTCCAAGTTAGATACATCATTAGCAATTCAAACTCACCTAGTTTGGAAAAGAAGGTTCTTGCTTTACTCAAATGGATTGCACGTATGTTCAACGGTCTGGTTGCTCCTTCGCCGGTTAGCTACTCAGCTTCGATGCCAAACCCAAGCGAAGCATTTGCTTTTATATACATGTTTGCTAATTGATCCTAATTGTGCTCGTGATTATCCTACAATGATGCTAAATTGATGTCCAAAGCCATAACCTTGAAACATCTGTTGGTGAAGATGAAAGGGCGTCGAGGAATAAAACTCCATAAAAGAGTATGAACGTTTTTCTAACAGTTGTTAAAAGTGATATGTGTGTTTAAAACTGCCATTTCACACTTCCAATACCGATCCGGTCAATGGTAAAAGCCTATTTGTGATCGCTAATGGGTTTTGTCGCCATTTGCCATCGATAAAAACGTTTGCTTTGGGAAAAATTGATTCTTTTTTGTTAATTCAGTCTTCTTTAGTGTCGAGATACATTTCTCGAATCGATGAACCGTGCCAACGCATTACCGGCCTCTTTCTTAATGGCTTGTTGCTAGTGACATTTTATTTATTTCCAAATCCAAAACAGGTGATACTGATATTCCTAAATTATCATCTGCAAATGTTACTGGCCCCTGAAGCAACCTATCGGCTGACATAAGTCAGGGTGAGCGGGCTAACACGCAAATCTAAACAACCTCTGGGCTGATTCAAGTCAGGGCAAGGCTTAAACTATTTATTGCATCCCATCTTTTTAGTTCGTGGCGTGTTTAAAGTTACAACATGCATAGAAACTGATAGAGGTTGCACATTTTTCAGAATTATAGTTGGAAATGTTATCTATAAATTTAAAATATCACTGAAGATGTCGTATTAAGACTAGGTCATTGTACAATCCAAAAGTCGAAACTTAAAAGGAAATTTCACATTTCTGATGAAAAATTAATTTTTCAGTTGAACACGCGCGCGCGCTCCAGGAATTGTAACATTAAAAAAAAAAAAAACTAAAAAGCTTGAGGAGGCTGGAAAGTGTTTTGTGCCTTCACATACACTCACAATTATGATCTAAAAAAATTTATATGGCTATAATATGACAGCAAGTCTACCTGGAAAGCCAAAGACCATAAACCAAAGAAAGTTTGAATCTTAAATTTTTTTAGGGCAAAATTTTCCTTTTGCAAATTCAATTGCACAGCGTAGGTCAACAGCCCTAGAATTCGATTTACTTAATTCAAATCTGAATGAATGAATTCTTAAAACATTCTGAAAGAAAAAAATTGTTATAACAACTCCCTTTAACAGATCGTTTTGCTTTTTCGTTAAATAAAAGGATACCCTATAAAATAAGAATATTTTTAATTCAACATTTGATTAGTTTAAAGACGTAAGAAGGCTTCTGACGTTGTCATAGAAACAAAAAATCGTACTCATATTTTTATTTTTATTGACGCCGCATCTATGGGTGTTTGTCATTCTTGTTTTACATGCTGCCATATTATGGCTATTATAAAATTTCTCCGGGTTATTATTGTGAGTGTATATTGTTAAAGAGTTACTGAGGAATCACCTCATGAGGTCCGCTCTAAACACAGGCCACGTTCGCTGTCCGATTATGTGGTGTAAATAACACTGTATAACACTAAGAGTGAATTTCCTTTGACGTCATATTCATTTGCAAGCAAGAAGGTTGATGTTTTATAGCAATGAAAGGGTAACTACTCACAGCTGAATTACGCCTACATTTTTAACAAACCTTAATGATGTCGATGCACTCTGAGCTTTACGTCAGAGGGGTTTAAAGTGCACTTGCTCTTTTCCTGATTAGTGAACGAGTTTTCACGAAGTTCTAAACACAGTTAATTAATAGAACCAAGTCGCATAAAGACGTTTGTTCCTAGCATACGTTTTGGAGCCACCGCTAAAAAAAGCTCTCACTTAGTGCTATTTATAGATGGAAGTTTATTGCCAAAAATTGTATAGGTCAAAAAATACAATAGTCATTATTAGAAATTTAAAAATATCAGAAGCTACTGAGAAATAGTAGGGCTATCTATATTGAAAAATGTATATAGAGGTCGTAAACGTATAAACTTTACGAATATGTAGAAGCATAAAATGTATAATAGATTTTTAAATATAACACATAAACGCTATAGTGTATTAGATATTAAACAGAATGATAAGAAAGAAAGAAATGTAGTAAATATGAGAAATTCGATTGAAATAATGTGTTTCTAACTTTTAAGATGATTGGTATCTTTGTTTTGATGATAGATGTTATTGAAAAATCGAAGTGTATGCAATAAAGAAACGATATTCAACCTTTCGTCATGATGATATGTCCGCCATGTTTGTACCCCTCAATGGGAACCAAGATGGCGGACCCATACTTTTCAACTAAATTAAGCGGTATAACCAATCGCTCGTATATCTTCGTGTGTAAAAATTCTTTTAACTAGAACTTTGGCTGAGATATAAAGTTTTGGTTGCTCTTTAGTTTTACTTGATATAAATTCTGGACGAATGTTCGATGGCATAAATGAAAGCCAATAAATAGCTGGATTTGGATGCTAGTCTGGTGTTATATCTATGGACAGAGGAGATGCTCTGCACCAATTATATAGAATATAACGCGCACGCTCGTTTATCGATTTGCGCCGCTTGCAGAGGTAAATAAAATTTTTATAAAACTCTCCATTTTTGTTAAAGTCACTTGTGTTAAAAATACTAAAACAATGATTCGTAAGACGCTATAAATTGTGACCAATGAGGGCGCCGGAATCATTATATTCACTTGTGTAAACATTTAGTACATATTGTTAATGCGCTACAAGTGTGGACTTGGAGAACTTCAACTACACTCATTAACAAAAATATTGAAAGTATAAACCTTGATATCTCCAAGATGCATCACTCAAATCATGTAAAAACATTTTGCCATTCAACTATTTACTCCATGTAGAATTAATGCTGCGAATGTTGAGTTAGGTGTTATATGCACTTTAAATAAATCAATGTGAATTTACGATGGTTCCACAGATGGCTCTTATTCCCCACGCCTCTTATGCAGACGTTATTCGTGTTGGTCTCTTAAGGGATAAGGAATAAGAGACCGACACGAATAACGTCTACAAAGAAGGTTTTTATTTTACTGAATTTCATTTGAATCGTTGCGCTTTCGTGACCTCCTTAACCGGTCTCTCTTTAAACTAGCTCGCTGAATGAGAAGTTGTCCCTGTATAAATTGAAAGAAACTAATAAACGTTTGAATTTTCATAAAAAGATATTCCAAATCGGCTTCGCCATCCCAAGTCCCCAACTTCATCCCCCCTTCCCCTCTCCCCGATAGGTTGCATGGTGGCGTAGCGATAAAACGCTTGCCTTTCACCATTGTGAGTCCTAAGAGTCGGGTCGTTGCTTCGATTCGAGTTGTCTAATGTGTTGTTCTCTCCCTTGCATGACGGTTCTCCGGTTTTACTCCATCCCAAAATATCAACATGAGAGTTGAGACTTCTGTGCTTAAAACATTAAATGTAGTGGTAGTGTGTGTGAAGTGTGTAGTATACTTAGTTAACATAGCCTCTGGCTAGGTAGCCCGGCAACGACTCCCCTTATCACGACTACAATAGAGAAAATACCATTTTCCCCCTAAAGGCGAATTATAGTATTTCGCTATCACACGCGGCCATCAAGACGCCTAATTTCAAACAATTCACTGAATTCAACCAGTTTTGTAGACGGTCAATCAAAATAGTTTCTATGACAACAGGGTTACATTTTTGCTCACAGGCGGTTGCCTTTGGAAAAGTATTTTGCATCCCTTTCCTTCAAAATAAATAGCAAAAGAAAAAAGAAAAAAGAAAAAAAAAAAAAAAAACAATCGATGTTTAAAGGATCCCTTCAGCTCGGCCGTCGCAGATTTGTTGACTCAAAATGGCCATGACATTAGGAAACAAACTAGTCTAGTTACCACTATTTGTACTCATGAGTATAGTCAACACTGTTTTCACGTACAAATATATGTTCACTTTATAATATTAAAAGAAAGTAAAAACTTGCGCTGGTTAACTAACCTGCGTTCTTGTGGGTTTGGGGAAAAACCTAGGTTTTGGGAGAACTTTGGAACGAGCGAGAAATGAAACCGAGCAAAAAAGAAGCGAAGGGGGAGGGAGGGTGAATTCCCTTTTTTTTTTTTTTTTTTTTTTTTTTTTTTTTTTTTTTTTTGTTGCTAGGTTCCACCCAAAACCCCGATTCTTCCTCAAACCCATCACAAGAACGTCTGCTCTGCAGGCTACTGGTTAACCACTTAATTTAACAAACAAACAGATGCTGGCTGCTATTTCTTTCCCGAACCGATTAAACCTATTAGGAGTTGGGCGGGGAGTGGATTGGCCGACTAGATTGACTGACTTTTACATCTCAAAATATGACCACATTTTAATGTATTCTCATACTTCTAGCCTCCTCTTCAGGCGTCTGACAAAATCTAAACCAACAAAAGCCTTAGCGAGTAGCCTGCGGAGGTGGCTATCATACTTCTATTCACGGACGTTTTGAGGAAGAACGAGCGTTTACTCGCCTTAATTTGGTAATCGAAATGTGTTAGTAACGTACAAAAGCCAGTGCTTACAGTAGAAGTAAGCGAAAACATGTTCATACATTTACACGTCGTGCTGTTAACGAATAAGGGATGGAAGTAAAAACGAAATAGGAGATATATGGACCGTCTATCAATAACCCACTGGTTATATCCAATAGACTTATGTAGAGGAATATTTTAGCTTGCAATTCTATTTTTATTTTTATTTTTTTCTATTTTGGTCTTTGTTTGTAACTGTAGGTTAAGATGGCACTTAAGATAGTTCTGTCGCTTGTCCGGAATAAAAAAAAGGAAAATTAAAACCACTGAAATTTTCTTCTGTATTCTATGGCTAGTATTCGCCTTTTTCTTTCACTCTTTCTACATTTCCCTTCGTTTTCTTTGCTATCAATCGCATAGTTAAATCGACCGTACATATTGACGGTCGACCTTGACTGTTAAATCCATACCAAAACTACAAAAAAAGATTTTCTACTTTATTATTTTAATTTATACAATATTGCTGTTTTAAAAACAATCTGTAAAATCATCAACAAGATTATTTATTGATGATCGGAATGTGGCTATAATTATTGAAATTGAGATTCAGTGGTTTCATTAAATATCAGATGTTATCAAAAAGTCTTAGTTTGCTTTTAATTTAGCCAATTGAAGTTGTCAAACCAGAATATGTGGGCTTGTAAAAGTTGATAATGGTCACCAATAGAAAAACATTAGGAGATGTTTCATTTTTCCAGTGACGGAGCTGTGTGAATCTCGCTATTTGGTTTACAGGGTATCTTTCCAAGAGAGGCTAAAACACACCACCTGTTAAAGCAAAGCTTTTCAAGCCAATAGCTGCCAATGACCAGATATTTTTTTACACTTTCCTGGGATTGTTAAGACCATAAACCACTTTATATATTTACACTAGATATAAGATACAAGTCTCTGATTCTATTTACGAGTGCATGGTTTGGACTGACTTAGTTGGAGAGCTATACAACGCGAAAGGACATCCCGTATTACTTCCCTGACATGGCGGGAAACTTAAAGGAAAAAGTTCTGCATTTCAAAAAGGAGTTTAGTTCTCATTTCTTCACATGCCTGGGACTTTGCTTTCTAGCCTATGTACCTTGGGCATTTGGCTATTTACAGTTGAGCTTCGCATGGATTATTTTGTTGTTATCGTTCGGTGCTTTCTTGCAGTCTGGTCACCTGTTAAACCAACGACAAAGGAGACTCCATAAAAACATAAACGACGAGAATGATATTAAAGATATATGGCCCTCCATGCCATCTTGGATTTACTTCAGCGAAGAGGAACACGCGTTATGGGTCAACCGAATACTCGACCAAATGTGGCCTTACGTCGAAGATATGGTTCAGGCAATACTAAAACAATCAGTGGAGCCGGCCATACAACAAAGTCTACCCGGGCCTTTACAGTGCCTACGCTTCGACAAGATCTCTCTCGGACAAATACCTCCATACATCACCAACTTTAAAACATACCGTGTTTGCAACTCTAAGCGAGATGATGAATTTATCATGGATCTTGATGTAGTATACAACGGTGATGCAGACTTTGTTTTAGCGGTCAAAAAAGTTAAACTTGGTGTTTCGGATTTTCAACTTCATGGGTCACTTCGTGTTATTCTAAAGCCCTTGTTACCAGACTTCAATCCCGTGGGCGGTGTGACGGTATTTTTTCTAAACCGACCTAAGATATCTTTTGATTTAACAAACTTGCTCAGTGTGCTGGACATTCCTGGGATAAAGAGTACATTGTTGGATATCACAGAAGATGTTGTTGCTTCGTTTGTTGTCCTTCCCAATAGAATCGCTGTCCCTCTCTCCCTCAATGTTGATGCGGCAGACCTGCAATACCCGATTTCCGATGGTGTCATACGTGTTCAGTTAATCGAGGCTAAAGACTTGATCAAAGCTGACATGGCTATTATTAGTGAAGGGAGTTCTGACCCTTATGCAATTCTCGAAGTTGGCGCGCAAAAGTTTCGCACAAAAACCAAAAAATCCAACTGCAACCCCGTTTGGAAAGAAACTTTTGAAGCATTCATTGACAACACGGAAGGACAAGAACTGTTTGTAAAAGTCTATGATGAAGATATTGCATCGAGTGACGAGAAAATCGGCGAAGTAGACCTCCAGGTGGCCAGAGTTTTTGAAAAAGGAATCTCGGATCTTTGGCTACCACTGGAAGGTGTGGATGAAGGGAAAATCCACATGAAGTTGACATGGTTTGCTTTAAGTTCAAACCCAGAAGATCTCAGACAAGCGACACCGATTAACCCAACAGTTGCAGCCGTCTTTGTTAAAATAATATCGGCAGTTGATCTGCCTAAAGACCTTAGAGATGAAGAAGACCCAAAGATGTTGCTATGCGACGTCAGCGTGTGCAAGACAACACAGAAAACATATCCAGTTAGCAGCGTTACACCGACATGGAACCAAGGCCTGCGTTTCCTCGTGAGCAATCCACGTACTCAAACGGTAAGAATTAACATGATGGAAGACGACAAGCTCCTGTGCCATGTGAAGTTCGACCTTAAGCGCATCGAGAATGTCCCTGGTATGACACATGAGGGAGCATTTCCACTGATAGGACCAGGCTTTGAGAGAAGTGCTCTTAAATGCAAAGTGGTTCTTCGAGCAATGAAAGCAACACAAGTAGAAGAACCAGATGGCAATAGCTGCAAAGAGGTGGAGAATGCGACTAACGACACTTTAAATCAAAGAAAACTTAGAAAGAGTCTCCCTGGGCGCTTGAATGCATCCGTTCCTCAGTTATCTGAGACAGAAGTAGACAGTGAAGGTCAAGGAAGGCTACATTTCCGAAAGGACGCATCAAGCTCATCAATGACCAGCAGTACCTGCGGAATGAGCTCACTAACATCCTTGGAACAGTCTACAGAGGAACTAACATCCCGAGGGGAAGTCAAGTTGGGTCTAAGATACGATCACTCTAAGAATAGACTGATAGTAGTGATCATAAGAGCCGACGGGTTGAAGTCCCGCGATGCAACAAACAGAACAAATCCTTACGTGAGGTTATACCTTCTCCCTGACAAAACCAAAAAGTCGAGGCGAAAAACCGCTGCAAGTCGTGGCAACGTGAATCCAGTTTTTAATGAGACTTTTGAGTACGATGTAGGGTTGGAGGAACTTAAAGACAGGGAGCTGGACTTGGTCGTGAAGAACGCGAGGCCTGGGTTCAATGTTCGACGAGGCTGGAATATGATTGGTGGAACGACTATTCAATTGTCAGAGCTTGCTTTATCTTCTGGAATAACCATGACATGTGAGCTTAAAAAGTAGGCCACCGTTTTTCAACTTAATTTGTCAGCAATTATTACAATCTTTTTTATACAGCGTCATGAAAAAAAACCCAATCAGAATGCAAGAAAGTCTTTGATTATTTTTTCAGTATATTTCATCCCCTCGGAGACTGAAATTTTTAGTATAGAATACAGTAGTTATAATTTATAACGTGTATTTCGTGTCAATTCAAGTAGAAGACAGTAATAATAAAAGGGTAAATTATACGCCGTGAAAAGATGAAAAAACTTTCTGACGTCATTAAGTTTTTTCGTCTTTTCACGGTGTATGATTTACCCTTTTATCATTACTGTTTCATTAGAAACACTGACGCAGCTCACACTAGTTTTTAGCTAGCTAGTTATCTCTTCAAGTAGAAGACAGTTGTTTGTTTGTAGTAAAAAGGCCGAATTACTGAAACCGGCCGTCCTGAGGAAAAGGGGCTTGTCAGGGCCTTGGTGTACGTGGATTAACATTTATCAGTAAAATATAAATGTGCGGGATATTCCACTGGACAGGCATTATATGTCTTGGTTGTTGTTTTTATTTCATGTTATATTACTTAATATTTTTAAACGCTTATTTGCATGCAATATCTCGACCTGAAGGTACCTGCCAACAACGTGATAACTGATTCATGGATCATGACCGTGTCACTGAACCAAGTCAAGCAGAAAAAATATAGATAATATTAGAATATAGAGATCGTAGGAAATTCCATGTCATAAAAGGAACCATCTATTCTTTCAGCAGTCAGGCCTCTGAGGCTCACATCACAATTTATCTAATCTAACTTGATTATTTGCATTTAATAAAATATATCATGCTATGAATATAGAGAGAGAGATGGATTGTGGAATGTGGTATCAAATGTACAAATGGCAGGGAAAGCATTCACGTTTCCATTTTCTTGATCTTTAGGATACAATATATTCGTATGACATTGGTAATCAGAATTCTGCATTGAACTTATTATTATTATTATTATCATTTTTTTGTACTTTAGTGACAACAATAATAATAATATAGACGAATAAATTATTGCCTAACACATAGCACAGGCTACTTAGCTATGGGGTAGAACAATTTGCTAAGGGTTGTTTTCATGTTTCGTAATCAAAGCAGAAATAAGGCTCGTGATATTGCGTATAAATAGCATAACTGTTGAAAAAAAGATCAATAAATCAAAAACACTTGCATCGGAAACAAGTTTATTCTGGTTTGAAAATACAAAAGATGATTCACCATGACGACAGTGCAACTCAGGTGAAATTCACTGGCAATCATGCAAAACTTGGACCAATATATCATTTCCCTTGCGTTACAATACAGGTAGCTATTGATTGGGCCGTGGTGTTATTTAGCTTGTGCGTTATTCTTTCGAGTACAAAAGATCACATTGAGCAATCTAGCGTGACCTTACGAATATAAGAATCAAATATTCTTCTGTCGACGTGGTTGGGCGTCTGGAAGAAAAGAGACCTTGTCGCTACTCTACGAAACCAAGTAAACGATACTCGGGTAAGCGATTTTATCGTTTAAGACGCTTGAAATCACTTCTTAGTAAATCTAAATGCATTCCTACTTAAACATGCAGTTAATTTCGACGTAATATAAACAGTTTTAATGCCTACCGTTTCTGTTTAGCATATGGCCTCGTTGTATAAATAGCATTTGAATTGCTGTCTCAAACAGTGTGCTTTCCATCACAGATAATCACTGGAGTCTGGGTTTATCGACAAAGCATCATGGAGAAGACGAACGAGCTAACTCCGAGACCCTTCTACAAGCGAATTTATCATAAAATTCGCTACATGTCGAAGAATGAAATGATGGAGTTTGGTCGTTTCTTCGCAGTCACGTTCTCTCTATGGCTCGTAGGCTACATGCACTTCAGCTTTGCCTGGATTGTTATGATTGTGATGATCTTCGTCAGCTGGCAGTTCGAGATAGACAAGAAGAAAAAGCATCGCAAGAACTTGGAAAAAGCCCACATGTCTTCGTTTTTCCACAAGTTCGAGAATATGCCTTCGTGGGTTTATTTCTCCGACAAAGAACACGCTGAATGGATAAATAAAATGCTCGTTCAAATGTGGCCTTTTCTCGGGGACATGGTGTGTGACATCCTAAAGAATACGGTCGAGCCAGAGATGCAAAAGAACCTTCCCAAAGCCCTGCAAACCCTGTACTTTGATAAGATAACTCTTGGTAATCAACCTCCAGCTATCATGAGTGTTTCATCATATGACTCAAGGGAGAAGGCTGGTTGCTTTATAATGGATCTTGATTTCAAGTACAACGGCGACGCACAGGTCAAGCTCTCAGTGAAATCTGTGAAACTTGGATTGACCAATTTCCAGCTTCATGGAGTCTTAAGAGTGATCTTCAAGCCATTGGTTTCCGAGTACAATCCAATTGGTGGAGTTACTGTCTTTTTCCTGAATCGTCCAAAGACAAAATTCGATCTGACCAACTTGCTGAATGTTCTAGACTTCCCGGGACTGAAGAGCACGCTCAGAGGAATTGTTGATGACACCATTGCCTCGCTGGTCGTGCTGCCCAATCGTATAGCAGTACCGTTAGCTGAAGGTGTTGATGGCAGTGATCTACAGTACCCGATTCCTGAGGGTGTCCTGCGAGTTAAAGTGATCGAAGCGCGTGATTTGATAGCCAAGGATTTTGGCATCGGAAAGAAAGGAAAGTCCGACCCCTATGCGATCCTTCGAGTAGGCGCGCAGAGCTTCCATACCAAAGTTAAGAACAATGATCTTAACCCAACTTGGAACGAGACCTTCGAAGCCTTTGTCGACAACAGCGAAGGGCAAAACATAGAACTGACTGTATGGGACGAGGACACCTCAAGCAAAGATTCCAAGATCGGTTTCATCGAGACTGCAATCGCAAGTGCTGTAGAGCAAGGCAAGCATGACGTGTGGCTGCCTTTGGAGGGCGTCAAACAAGGAAGGATCCACTTGTTCTTATCCTGGTTTCCGTTGAGTACCAATCCTGCTCACCAACAGGTTGCAGAACACCAAGATGACTCCGTAGCTGCTCTGTTTGTCAAGGTGATCAATGCCAGCCAGCTTCCTGTCAATAAAGACCCCACTCTAAACAGTATCTTCTGCGAAGTCACAGTCGTCGGGACCACCCTTAAAACCTTTACTGCCTATGGGGAGAAGACAGAATGGAAACAAGGACTCAGTTTTCTCTTGAAGAATCCAGAAACAAGTGAAGCCAAGATCCGAGTCATTGAATCTAAAGGGAATCGATGCCTTGGCGTCATGAAGTACACCATCCACGATTTACTGCAGAAGCGTGGAATGAGCGAAGAGAAAGCCTTTGCGCTCGAGGAATCCGGGGACAAGAGTACTCTTGCTTGTCGACTGACACTACGGATGCTGAGTCTTCCAAGCTTGATGGAAATCGAGGAAATAGGTGGACCTGGAGTCGAGGATGGCACTGAGAGGTAAAGGAACTGTTGCATAACGGATAATATGTCTTATGATAAGAATCGTATCACGAACACTTTATATTGTTTATTATATCTTTATTTTTGTTACTCTTGTGCTTGGTAAGCAGTGTCTTTTAGATTAGCTTATTTCAAATGAGGTTGTGTTAAAGAACATAAGAAAAATGAGATAATATGAGCAAGTGCAATATGGAAGAACTACCCCATTGTGATAGTAATCTGGCATGCACTATAATAATTATATAATTAATTTGTATTCAGGTTGTTAGATGTCAAAATGATAATCATTCGAGTTGTGATAGATTGGTTCTCATATAGGCCGTTTTAATAAATCTCACAGTGCTTTATTTTTCGCGCTTGACATCCAAAATTTTTTTTTTATTATTTCAATGGAAAACTAATTGCAAAATAATAAATTTGACGTCAAATGTGGAAAATAAGTTCTACGAGTTTTATTAAAAGGGTCTAAATAAATACCTCTTTCAAAATTATCTTAGATACAATGCGAACAGGGAAAATACAAGCAAAGAAAGGAATGAATTCCATCGAGACAAAGTATAGTTTCTTTTGTATTCCTCTTATCCTTGCATCTGTTGTAATCGGTCGTCTTAAATTACTGACCTAAATTATTAGTAAATGTTTCTATAGCCCTCTTCAAAAGTGGCTCATTATGCCCGCTATTAGTTAATTTTCACAATTTCACATGAAGATTCATTTAAAACTACAATTGTTTCATTAGAATTAAAGTAATAATTCTGCTCTGAACTCAAATTGCCTGCAGAAAAAAATTGCATAAATTTATAATATAAATTATAAATATACACTGTAAATTCTAAAAACATGTTTCAAGCTGATAAGTATATTACTTCAACCACTTCTTCAACATTAATTGAAACTCTATCCGTTTTTGTTTTTGTTTTTGTTTTCGTTTTTTTTGTTTGCCAATTCATGATAAATATAAATCTGCCATATTAGGGTCTCAAATAAACAGCACTAAATTTCATAAATAAATGTTTACAATACATTTTATTATAAAACCGGATAAGAAACTAAAAGAAAAACATGCAATTGTTTGGCATGAAAAAAGATTCAATATTGTCTAAGTTGTCTAGAATGAAGGTGTCAAGTAAACGGCGAAGACGGTTTAAACATTACATTTTTCATACCATAAATATTTTCTAAAATATTGAAAGAAGTAATGAATATTTTCTTAAGATAAATCTATTTCTATATCTATTTTCGTGACGGCTAAATACAATTTAATATAATTTTCTCGTCAATTTTCTCGAGGTAAAACTACACCAAGTAAAAATAAAACTGCTCTCAATTTTCACTTTAACAAAGCTAGGCTTAAAATCATTTTGAGACATGCACCTTAAACTAGTCTGAGTAGCCTAGGCCCTCTTTATATAAGGCGATGTTTTGTTATTTTTCTTTAAATTAATCCTTAAAACAGCTAGGACTTGACTGCATGCTATAGTCATTCAACTCTCTTTGCAGATCCTTTCTTCTCTCCCTTTTTTGTCTTTCCTTCTCTCCTACTTCTGCGATACTTTTGGTATCCTAGGATAAGTATCCACCTTTGCTAGATGAAAAACTTAGCTGTGGGTGTTCATAATTTTTCCCATTACACGTTAATAGTTATTATCGCATATATGTGCTGGAGGGATGTATGCTCTGAATTTGATATACAAGTTTACTGTAATAAAAAAACTCCTAGAAAGATATAAAGATCACAAGCATATTTCCCTTTGCAGTGGACATATTGTGACTACTAATGTGTATAAAGTGGAAGGCATTTCAAGAGATAAATAATTTTCTAAGACATTTAGAATAAAAAGTGACCTTGAGTTAAGTAAGCAAGATAAATTGTGTGACGCAACATGTATGACACTATGTAGCTATTGTTTGCAAAAAAAGTATTGATTAAATTAGTGTGATTCTTTGCAAAGCGTTTCGAATTGTCTTTACTTGCGTTCTGTCCTTTCTTTTCACTGTGTAATTTTAGTTACTCGATCGATGAAATCACGTGATGCTTTAGCACGTGACACTGATCACATGACGGTGTCACGCTTTTTAGCCTGCTATTTGCCTTTTCCTTGTCGAAAAATCTTTGCATTGACGATGCACACTAGCAAAAAATGGTATCTTATGGATACTATAAATGATTACTGGAGAAACGCCCTTGCTAAGTATAGGATATGTAAATGGCTCAAGCATACTTTCTCGCAACTGTGCATCATGCACTGAGTTCTTTTAGATTATTTTAGGTTGTGATTGTTCCTCATATTTAATAGTTTGACGAACTCTTAGTTTTCTATTTCATATCGTCGTGCCTGTTTACCGTTATCGCTTTAAAGATGCATTGACATGCATATCAGTCGACCAAAAAAATCCTCAAAGTTTGCTATTAATAGACGTCATTTCCGGTCTCGTGTGGTTTTGTTACCTGCTGCGATTAATTAGAAATGTACAAAGACAATTGATCATGAAAGTTCACTGACGAGACATTCATGAGATTCAGTCAACACCAAGCAATTCATAAAGCAATGACACGTGGTCTGAATGGGTCTATGAAATATCTTGACATATGCTTTTACCATAAGATTGAATCCAAATACTGTTATGAATTCCTATTTATGTATTTTTTCCATTTGATATAATTCACTTGTGAGCAACCAACATCACCATCATATTTTGATGTTGTTTTTGTTGTTTGTTGCAAACCACCTATAGTTAATATCATTAAGAATGAATTTTTTCTCTAACTGCTAGTCTTAATCGAACCCTAAAAATGAGATATTACCTTTTTCAGAGATGTTCCGCATGTAGACGGTCCCCAGGTTCCAACACTTTTAGTCGACGGAAAAGAGCCTGGTAACGAAGGTCACAAGGCAGAGACTGGGTCCGAACAGGGTAGCGTCTATGAAGAAAACAGCTTTGGGGATCATTCAATAGAAGACTTAACTAGTCGAGGAGAACTAGATCTACATTTAAAATATGATCACCGAAGAAATTGCCTATCCGTAAAAGTCATTGGCATTAAAAATCTCAAATCACGTGACGCCGAGCACAAGACCAACCCGTTCGTGCGGCTATACCTGTTACCAGATCGCTCCAAGAAAACGAGGCGTGTCACTAAGATCATAAGAGGGTCACTGGACGGAGAATACCACGAGACGTTTGAATATGCAGTTGGTCTTGATGTTCTTGGTAACCGTCAGCTGGAGTGCGCTGTAAAGAGTGATCGCGGGCTTAGGAATCGATTGATTGGTACTTCGACCGTTGAGTTGGGAGAGCTGGAGCTAACAGATGGATGTGACTTACAATTGGAATTAAAGAAAATCTAAAGTCCTTGGAGACAATCATATATTAAAGTCTTCTAGAGGATCTTGATAGACGTTTGAACCAAAGAAATGCAGATTTTTAAAAGGTTTTGAAAAGATTTGTTCGTGCGGTAGTATCATTAGATAAGTGCTAATACAAAATACTTTCTTCAACGCTTATCAAATGTTAAGAGAATAAGATAGCAATCCATAGAGATCACGAAGTTTTTTTTTATAATAATAGTCCTGTAAGTTTTGCAGTATGGCATATGAAATATTACGAAAGATGCTTATTGTAGAATTGTAAAAGCCGCGACAAAAATTCATAACGAAAGATTACGACAAATCAAGACTTTCAACAAATTTAAAACTTGTCATAAATTAAAAGCAACAGTAATTGTTGGGACGCCATACATTAAACCTGTTAAATTATTAAATAAAACTTAATAGTACATGATATCTATTAGACTATTAAATATAGTGACGTTTCGAGGGGTCGGGAATGCAGCAACCACTGACTCGAAAATTTCCGCCAAATCAACAGCAAGTCTTTTAGCATTAAATACTGAAAGTAGCACGCATTTCGTAGCAAAGGATTTTTCTGTTGCCCTACAAGGGAGCAAAATTTGGTTTTTTCTCTATAGAGGCTTTGCACAATAAAGTGATGGCAGTAATGACAAAGGGTGCTGAACAAGAAAATAAACGTATTTTAACTACCCTATAAATGCATGATGCTAAATTCCAATTCCATCTGTGATGCCTTGACTTTCGTAAGCCCATAGCCAGAGGCTGTCGGGTATGAATAAACTTTCATGGTTGTGTTCAAGGGCGAATGCAGGGGTCCTGGTTTTGCCCCCCCCCCCCCCCCCTGAATAAACAGCCTTGCTCAGCCTTTGAAGATGACTGGGTGGCGTCATTTGCGTGCGCTCGTCAGCCATTAAGAGAACGGTGAATGCGTTAGTTCATTACTCATCAGAATAACCTCTGAACTCGCAATTCAAATATACTTTATAATAATAACAACTATACATATAAAATGATAATGCTTATAGCAATAATAATAATAATAATAATAATAATAATAATAATAATACAATAGAGGCTTTGCACCATCACGTGATGGCAGCCATGACAGGAGGCAGGAACAATTGTATCTGGTCTAATCTGATTTACATGAGAAAAGAATTCAGTTTCCCAGGGAAAAAAAAGATTCTACAATTGTGCCTCCTGTCATGGCTGCCATCACGTGATGGTGCAAAGCCTCTACTATGAATACGATATCGTGCATCACATATGAACGCTATATTCTATAGCTATGCATGATGGTGAAAATATTTTCAATAGTTATAATAATATAATAATGTCTATAAATAGTTTTCCATAAAATATAGAGAGGATCATTTCTTCTGCTCCTAGTCAACTCAACTCAAGGCAATGATTCGATGCTTTTATCAGTAATACCGACCGGCCAAATAAACTTATTTCAAGAGAGTTGGTTAGCCAGAAAAGTGAATGGTACAAGCTGCGACTGATGAGAACTAAGGGTGTGTGTGTATGTGAAACGTCAGCACTTTCAGTGGCCTGCGTCAACCCCTTTCCACGTCTTACCAAAATCTTTTCGTGGTAGGGATATGGATATATTCTGGAACTACGCATTAGATTTTGCCTCAAAGATCCTTAAATCGAATCACTGTCAAATATTTCTCTTGTGATTTATCCTAGTAAACATTTCGTAATAATCCTTCATTTCTATAAGGGGAATAATAATATATCTAATATATATTAACTATGATAAGGCTTGCATTATAAACAAGTTTTCAAGCTCTGATTTTCCACACCTGAAAAAGAATCCAAAAACAAGTTAATAAAGACATTCATGAAACATCATTAACTCATCCCCCTTCAGACATGACAAATAAAAAACATCAACTATATATATAGAGCGTTTTCACTCACATGGGACGGAAGCCATAAACAATAGAAACTTTCTGCTCAGTATTTGCATAAAAATAGAGTTCAATTCTCGGATAGAAAATGTATCGTTTTGGTACCCCATAATGGTTGCTGTGACGTCACGTGAAAACGCTCTATAGGGCTTTCACGTGATATATAGAGCGTTTTCACTCACATGGGACGGAAGCCATAAACGATAGAAACTTTCTGCTCAGTATTTGCATAAAAATAGAGTTCAATTCTCGGAGGATAGAAAATGTATCGTTTTGGTACCCCATAATGGTTGCTGTGACGTCACGTGAAAACGCTCTATAGGGCTTTCACGTGACGACACAGCGGCCATGTTGGTGTACTAAAACAATAAATTTTCTATCCTCGGGGAATTGAAGTCTATATGTATCCAAAAACAGCGCAGAACGTTTTTGTTAGGTACACCAATGTCACGCGAGTGAAAACGCTCCGAGTCAAATCAAGTGAAAAAATGCAGGCCTCGAAGTCCAACACACGTGATCCTGGTTGGGCTGCCTGTTCTTTATTCAGCGAGCGTGAGGTAATATAGAGAAGAAGGACTTTGAGAAAGTCTAGTCTTTATACAACTAAAGAATACCCCACACGATTTACCTTTAATCTGAATCCTAGCAGATCAGACATGACACCAGAAAACAAAGACAATACCACCACTCTGGTAATGTTATACAGAAGAGGGTTCATAGATAACCCTGATAACTTGAAGGGACTCTCGATTTCCTACAAAAGTGAAGTAAAAACATCAATAAAACCACACCTAAACTTGCGTTACAATGTTAACCAATCATGACTGATATTGTGTGAAAGCTGCAGCCAATCAAGAGAGAGGAGATCGACTTCAGCCAATCACAATGTTTGAATAGCCACACGCTTTTTGCCGCAAAAATTTTTTGATCTAGGCTTAGTTGCTTCTTCCTGATTGGCTTGAGGTGGCTCCATAAAGGTGTTATGCGCACGCGCGCAAAACCGCAACTTGAAGAATTTTTGTTTTGATAACGTCACGAAAAAGTGTTTGGTACACACATTATCTTTTTAAAGTGGACTACTTCGCGACGACGATACGGCGGCCAGGGGTGCAAGATAAATAATAAGAATAAAGGACAAGGTAAGACCTAAAAAAGACGCTTTGTGATGTCTCTCTAGGTAACACGTCCCCCCCCCCCCCCCCCCCCCCCCCCCCCCCCCACCCCAAATCGTTCTGCATCCACCCAGGAAGGGTGTGGATTTCAGTTAGGTAGTATCTTTTCTTTGCCTCTTTTTGTCCCTAGTCAATCATTAGAACTCCTGTCCAGCATGGCGGTAAGTTTAAAGAAAACTCCCGAATTTTAAGATAAATCGCTATTCAAGTTTATTACTCTCACCTTTAATAATTTAGCAGCAAGTTTCAATACATGGTGTGCAATCATCAGCTCATCTTTCTTGTGAGGAGATCTCTCCATTTGTAGGTAAAGATTTATCTGCAGCAAGCATGGGAATAAGATGACACAGATCACCTTAAACACTAGGGTGAACACAGGGGTGTTTACACAAGCGTGTTTCGAACAGAGGGTTAAATTATGGGGATTCAAATGTCTGAGAGTAGCCCAGAAAATTCCAAGAGTTTGGCATTTCAACAAGCTTAAATACTATGGGGGAGTGGGTCGGGTGGGGGGGGGGGGGGGGGGGGGGGGGGGGGAGTTGGAGCAGCACCCTCAACCCAAACCCTGGATCCACAGGCTCCTGCTACTGGATTGCATATCTATTCTATACATGTATTTACCCAATAAATACTTAGATTTGGCGTGTTATTTTATTTTACACAATCCATAAAACATAGGAGATTCTTTTAAGGAGACTACTGTAAAATACAAGGATTATCACTTGAGAGAGAAAAAAAAAAAAACGAGAATGTTTAGAGTGAGAAGTTGTGCTGTCAAAAGCATAATGTCAAAAGTACAATGTTGTTAGGGGCAACGGCATAAGGTTTATTGGGTCAACTCAGGTCTCTTCGCTTCAACTTGTCGACGTAATAACCTTATGCCCTTGCCCCTAATAACATTGTTCTTTGATAACTAAACCTAAGTCTCTAAACTTTCTCATTTCTTACTCAAGTGATAAGCATAGTATGGCGATATAAGAATGGATGTGCAACAGGTTTCCTGCATTCTGATTGGCTGTATTTTCTTGAGGCTGGATAAATATATTACCTGTTCAGTCAAGACAACTGAAGTATTCCTGTATTTGTGATTGATTTTAGAACCAAGAGTCATGAACCTCAGCACATAGATGGAAAGGACCAGTCCCCTGTAGATAAACCATCAAATAAACACCCACTTAGTGTCATACATGTACTACACAATTTATGTTCAATCACTACTGAACGAGTCTAAAAACATGAAGGTAAAAGGTAAAAAGGTAAAGGTAATTTATTTTACTTCGATAACGCGGGGAGTGGTTGCCCAAATCTCCCGAGCCAAGGGCTCATGTTTAATGCGCTCGAAGGTGCGCCCTCTACCCCCTCTAACTATCAGTGCTCCTTTTTACGGGTATTTAAAGCTAATTAAAGCTACACAGAACAGAGAGAAGTCGAAACAGACGTGGAGTTCCTGAGGATCGAACCATGGACCTCAAGCTCTGAAGGCCGCGCACTAACCAACTGAGCTACGCCTGCTCCTAAACTAACGGTTACATGGAGCAGGGATTACACTCTTTTCACGGCACACCTTTCCAGCCTACGTTGCATCCGGAATTTTCTTCGTAAAGTCTAAGGACTTTATGAAGAAAATACCTGGGCCATTCCAGCAGCGAGTACCATAATCAAATGCTTATTCTACCATGGTAAATTGTTCGGCAGCAGCTGCTAGCTGGTTAATGACATACCCGAACTCTATTTCAAGATGGATGCTGTTGCCTAGACTAATGATTTTCAAAAACGCAAATGAAATATAATCTAGCTCTTTCACTCTTCTCCCTAAAGGAAAATGATGTCGAGGTACAGTACTAGACTAAGACTTCATTTCTTGTTCATTATGAATCATGGTAAAGAGGTGGAGAATCTCGAGTGATTAATAAATTGGCAAACTCTGTGCCTTGCAGTTCTTTTAAAACGGAGCACTTCTCCCTATTTTTGGGGTGCAACCACGTGACTCAAAATCCCTTGAGATACTGAATAAATGAAAAATCTACCATGTTATTCGATCTAGCAAGTGAAGTCGATGAGGAATGCTTTGTAATCGTCAACCAACATGGAGGCTATGACGTAACATGCACTGTCACAAGAATAGATGAAAGGCAAATAATACCTACCAGACAGAAACTTCCCAGTTGAACATTAAAGATGGAAACCGTTCCTTTTCAGTGCCTTTTAAAAGCTGAAAGAAAGCATAAAGATGGTATGTCATCATCATTCAATGGAAAAATACACACAGAAAAAAATAATGGAAAAAGTTTTCCATCCTACAAAACTAAAAGATTTAATGTCTTAAAATACACTCAACAAAATTTCTCGATTCTGATTGGCCAAGAGAAGCACATTTAAATCCCTTATAGTACACTCAACAAAATTACTCGATTCTGATTGGTCGAGAGGAGTACAATTATAGCGTTAATCGTACTCCGTAGGAGTACCGAATTAAGTCGTTATGGAAACACGGCCAAAACAATGTCAACAGCGGCAAAAAAAAGCCGTAAAAACTAATAAGAACTAATCTTTTTTATGCATTTCGGTTGCGCGATAGACTGAAAATCGGCCGCCAAATAGACAAAGATGAACGGCGTCGCTTCGCATTTTTTCCTGAAATTTTGTTGAGTGAACTATAAACAAAAAATCGCACGATCTTCTCGCCTAAAGGCTCGTGCAATTACAAGAACTTTCAAAACATTACTCGTGTCTATTAATTTCCAAATTGTACTCGAGATCGTGCGATTTCCTATACAAATTGTACTCTGTAGAGTCCCAATTAAATTCCTCAATTTTGCTGAGTGTATAACAAAAAATCGCACAATGTTCTCATACAATTCGAAATTTATAGATTTTTTTCCTGGAATTTACAGACACTAGTGATGTTTTGAAAGCTCTCAAATTGTACTTGCCTAAAAGGCTCGTCCAATTTTGAAAACTTTCAAAACATCACTCGTACCCGTAAATTCTGAAGTACTCGAGATCGTGCGATTTCCTAATACCAATTGTTTGTTTATTGGTAATTACCTGAGCACACATGACTATCACTAATGCAATCCCAAGCAGGAAAGACGAAGATACGATCATATCTACCGATCTCTGGGGGCCACGGCGCTAAAAACAGAATATAACAAACAATTGGGTCAGATATGATCAAAGCCTAGCCAGCTTTATGGATAACTTTAAGACAACCCTCCTTGCAGTCTGAAAATTAAGTCTGTATTACTGTATGGACACACGAACAGGGAATGCTTGAACAAAATTTAAGATAAAAATTAAAGAAGACTTTAGCCAATCAGGAGAGAGCAAAATCAGTATAATACTGTATTGACCTCGGCCAATCACAATTTTATTCCCATGGTTGCTGATAACATCTAAGTTTTTTCCCTCAGATATCTAGGCTTCATTCTTTTTCCTGATTGGTTAAAGTTTTAATTAAGTTTGATTCCTTTGTTTTCACTCCATGTTGTGATTGGTTAATTTTTTCAAGTGGTCCCGGTTAGTGTGTCCCCACAGTTACAGGGTTCCACTGTAATTTTAAAAGCATAAAGCCTGGCTTATAACAGACCTAATTCGTTTTAGAGCAATGTTTACCCATTTCAGACCACCTTTCATTCCTTAGAGAATAAGATCCTTCGTTTGAGTTGTATCTATATTCATGTGTCTTCTCGTGCACAACCGGTAAACAAAGAAATGATGCTCTAGGGAATGACTCCTGGTCTGAAATGGGCAACTCAGCACAAAGACGAATCAAGTCACTCTATATTTTACAATAACTTACACATTTTTCGCGCGCTGATTGGTTATTTTTTATCATCAACAAGAGGACAGACAGATAAAGCTGATGTCAACAAGCGCGCGTTTTTATCGCTCTTTCCGTTGGTTGTTTTGATCGTTTTTGTTATTGTAAAAAAAAAAAGACATCAGTGTTGTATGTTTCTGTCCTTTTATTGAAGATAAATTACGTCATCACATCGTCAAAGAAGTATCCACACTACTTTGTCAATGTGATGACGCAATTCATCTTCAATGAGAGGACAGACACATAATAAAAAACTGATGTCTGTTTGTTAAACTGACAGTTCATTTTCCCTGTCCTTTTTTTTTTTTTCAACGATAGGGGTTCAGAAGAGAAAGAGAAAGAGGAGAGTGTGAGTGATCAAGAGTCTACACGTAAAATCAAAATTGATTAAGTTTACGATACCTTTAGTAGTGCTCTTAGTGACAGCCATGTTTTAATATTGCGCACTTTGTGTAGCCTGAAGTGTGGGAGTCCAGCTCTCCTTGCTTTACGAGATGAGGTTAGCCAGCCAAACAACTTGGCATATAAGCAGCGCTAAAAAGTAAATTAAAACAGGTTATGAAGTTTTTAATCATAAAGTTCAGTGATAAATGTTTCATAGACGACGTTTCGACATACTATTGTACCATCATTTATTTTTTGCACACTGGACATCAGTAAAATAATTATATTCATAACATAGCCACGATATAACGCGCTCTCTGATTGGTTAATTAGTGTGTGCGACCGTGCATCCAGATATGGATTGTGCACGCTGACATGTTGAGTAGCGCGCGCTATGTAATAAAGATTTCATTAGAATAAAATTTGAAAGAACAATATGGTCAAATGCGTGTGACTCTTACACTACTTTTGCGCAGCAAGAGGTATTTTTTATGATATTATGATCTAATCTAAGCTATTATCAGCTATTATGCTAATCAAGCTATTATATTCTATTTGTCTGAAGTGATGGAAGTAATTGGACGGTCTCCCATCAGCCAATGCTTTTTAAGCCTTCAGCATATCATATTGGAATTCTGAAGTTTTATAATCTTGCCAGAGGGAGGATAACTAAAAATCCTTCAAGGGGGTGGAGGG